GGCGAAGATCCACCTCTTGGGTGGTGCGGAAGACCACTATATTAAAATGGTTAAAATAAAATTAAAATACTAAACTATCCGATGTATAATCACATTGGTATGCTTTGTCCAGATTACTTTTGTGTTGAATAAGATAGTCATAAATATTTTTTAAGTAAAAACATGTTTCTTTTATTTTCAATCAATTTTTTCCTTTACTTCTCAATGTATCTTGCTATTTACAAAAGATATTATGCATTTATAATGTGATTTTTCACGTTAATGTGTAAAATTGGAACATATAAATAAATAAATAATATATTAAATATGTTTAAAGCTTATTTTTATCGCAATTAACTCATGTTAATATGTTTTAATAGGAAAAATGTTTTTCTACTAAAATTGTAGAAATGTTACTTGTTTTGTTTATATATTGCGATATATAATTTTTATTACTTTATTCTTATTTTATATATTAACGTGAAAAATATTATTCTGCTAATACATATAATGTTAAAATATTTTATTAATATGAATATGATATATATTTCATAAAAGACTAAATCTCAGAAAAAATATCGCGTCGAGCGAAAGCAACATGCCGCTAGTCGACTTAGTCACGTGGAGCGAAATTCGGGAAAGCATTTTTGCTGCCAACGCTTGGCAGAAGAAATGGTGCGAGCGTCAAAACCGGTTTGATGCTAGGCTTGGTGGGAAGGAGATACAAGACATAGGTCCGCTCACTTCTACCAGTCGACAGCCGAGCGCACACGGACACGTGACGTCAGCGGGTCTCGGTTGTGTGCGTGTGGAGCTCTCCGGGGAAAACTGGCAGCTCTGCTCCAATCTAGTTTCTGTCATATTTATCTTTTTCCGTGTTCGAAGTGTAGCTATGTTGGGCGGCGTCATCAGGCGTCATATTGATGCTATGAAAAAGTGATTTCTTTTGGTTGACAGAGAAAATGGTGTTAATCACGCAGTATAAGCGTTTCGACGAAAAGATATTGCAAAATGTCAAATGCAATAATATACAACATCGGTACGTTGTACTTCTTCCACGAGTGAGATAACCTGAAACTACTTTCAACTGCTTGTTATTCTCTGACCATTATATTTTATTATAAAAATATAGCAAGTGATATGTTTGTTGTTTGATATTATTTCAGTATCAACTGCATTGTACATTTATAATCTAGCAATGACAATTGTTAATTACCTTAGAACTATTGATGATGATTGAACAAGATTCTGAAGCTCTTGGATTTATGTATTTTGAATTGATTGTTTTCAGACCAAACTCGAGTAGTGGATTATGGCTAGGTATCTTGGTTGGCTTAAGTGCCACAGTTACAATAATGAAGGAAGAGAGCAGCTACTCTGAAATATGTCTACTCGTGGGGACCACAGGATTCGGACTCGTTCTCTGTTCTTTGTGCCTTTACATGCGGCTTTCCATGCAGAGAGTTATAGCGAAAGACTTTCATGCCATATACTTCTTGCCTGCAATTATAACATCCATGCTGTTTCTACTTGTAGCTAACAGAGGTATATCAATCTGTGAATTATTCCTTAATTTAAATAAAATCCTTAGCTATATTAATTAAGAATAAACAGCATGCGATTGATATATAGAATTGAATAGCATAGAAATAATTACTTAGTATAGTTTTAATTACATTTTTATATTAATTAAATAAGAACAGGACTGTTAACGAGTGTCATATGGGGTCTAACCGTTGGAAGTTTGGGCACGTGGGGTATCATGCAACTAATGTCGGCTTTTCCCTACTGTTTCACAATGGGAGAAGCAACAGCGATTATGCATAGTTTTATTTTGTTTCTGATATCGGCTGTTACCAATTTACCCCTGCGGTATCACTTACCTCCGATTCATGATTACGATATCAGCACAGTTTTGTTGCAGGTAGTAAAATACAACAAACAAAACCTAGTTGATACTGTTGGTAGATAATATCGCTTATTTCTTTAACACAATATTACAGGTTGGAATATTATATGTAGCATTGGTGTGCTTCCTGTGTGGATATTTTCCTGCCCTGCATAGCGCAAAGTACTTTTACTTTATGACACTCAGCCTTCTGTGTTTCATAACTCTTCCAATACTTTACATTGTTCTTGATCAAAACCCAATAATGTGGATAATTTTATTTGTTTTTAGTAATCCTAAAAGAGTAAGTAAATAACGTGATGCAGTCTACATTACTTTTGAAGTAAATACATTTGTGAAATATTATAGTTAAGTATACTTTATTTAACAGTATTAGCAATTTTATTTCAACTTTAATAATGTTGCAGATTTTGCTAGTTCTTTACTGGGCAATATGTCTTTTGCTAAGTATCTTTATCATAATATATCAGATATCGTCAAAGTCTCGAGCTACAACCTTGACTAGAAAAAATTTTCATATATTAGCCATATTCGTATATATCCCTGGCATGATATATGACCCTACGTTCTTGTACCTCGCCAGTGGTGTGATGTTGGGCCTGTTTATTGCCGTGGAGGTACCTATAATTCTTGCACGTATCAATTGTCCAAGGTAACCCTTATTTTATTTTTAGTACAATAATCACTGAATGTATTTCAGATGATCAGACTTTTGAAAATCGCACCTTTGGGAGACTTTTTCCATCAAGGATTTATCGTACTTGTCGATGAGAAGGACACCTTTCTTTCATTGACACCCGTATATCTATTATGCGGTTTATCGTTTCCCCTTTGGATGCCAAGTAGTAACTTGATGCTACTGACATTACTCAGCGGTGTGTTAACGGTAGGAATCGGCGACACTGCTGCAAGCTTCATCGGTAGCAAATGGGGCGCGCACAAATGGCTCGACACGGAGAAAACTGTTGAAGGCACCATCGCGTGCATCCTTAGCCAAGTTTGCGTGATAATCGGCCTGACATGCTGCGGTAGATTTTGATTTCTATATGTTTGTGTTTAACTGTTGTGTGCTTATCGTGCGCTTATTTTTCTTTATCTTACCAGGTTTTGTGGACAATTATTGGTTACTGTGGAGAAGCATCTTGGGGGCTATATTAATATCGTTGATCGAAGCACGCACAGACCAAGTGGACAATCTGGCTCTGCCATTGTTGATGTATGTGTATTTGATGATATAAGCGCGTATACCGTTCTTCCCAACTCGGTATTAACGTGATAATTCGAATTATATATAGTTTGTAAAAAAGCTATGGTGATACAATCATTTTATAGCTAATTTCTAATTGCACTTACTAGAAATGAACAGATTGAATAATTAATATAACTTGTGAATACTTAACGGTCTTTTATGGGGTTAAAATTGTAAAAATTTGTATGTTAATTGACACATGTACACGATCGTATACTAAGTTGCCATGCTGCGCAGACGTAATTAGTCGCAATCGAAGATTGCAAATAGTTGATAGAGACTGCTTGATTCGCGAAAGATTTTAGAGTTACGTTTAGTCGCAAAATAATATGTACAATTGGCATTTATTTGTTAGAAAGATATATAATGACGTCACAATTATAAACGCAATTACCTTTATACGCGCTATACCGTTCAACAATTGTGTACAAATATTTATATCTATAAAAGCATAGCGCATAGCGCATTATATATTTTTCTGTATATACCAGTGTAATATATAATTTATATATATTATATATATAAATATTATATATATATTTATATATATATTATATATATAAATATTATATATATATTTATATATATATTATATATATAAATATTATATATATATTTATATATATATTATATATATAAATATAATTATATTTATATATATATTATATATATATTACTTATCCAAAGATCTGGATGTGTGAAAAATTGCGTAATATAATCTATACAAATGCGAATGTAAAAAATCGGTGAAAGTGTATGATATATATGTCGCATTTAAGCTTTACTAACTTATACTCTCTTTAAAAAGTCTGTAAAAACCGATTATGTGCCTGACATATTCGCTCATTCCCAACAAAGCATTTTTGTATGTAAACCTTGTACACTTTCTGATGAAGTTATATTAATAAAATATTTTTCTAATTATTTATAATTATTCCTGTTCTCTTTGTAGATTATTTTGAAAAAAAATAATATCTGACTTGATTAGGTGGACTTTGTGCAGATTTCATGCCTCATAGCATGTTATTTTGTCAATTTGTCTCATATCTTTCAGCTCGTCCTCTTCTTTTTCTTTTAGAACAGAGCGCTTGGTGATTTGGAGTAATCATTGATCTATCGAGATGTTTATTTTAGCGTTTTATTGACCACACAGCCTTAAAACCTGCTCACGCACAGTATTCCCTCGCCGCATTCTTTAGTCTATAATATAATACTTACGAATGCTTAAAAAGCACCGATACTTTATTAATTCAACGTAACATGTGAATTTTAGCGTTACATTATACATATATACATATATCGTGTGTGTAATTCACTAAATAATAATTTCATATGAATGCGCTATAAATTGAATTTAGCCTCGTCGTCACTTATCGTTATAGTCATTAAATTAAACTGCATGTTTGGTGAAATTAATTTTTATTTAACCATAATTGTCGCGACAAGCTGATTTGTCACACTAGCAAGGTGAAGATTTTGTCCCTGTGATTCGTCCAGAACCATACATTGTTTACAATCTTTAGAAAATTAGAATATCTTTATTATAACGTACAATATATTATTTACTTATCATGTAACAACGAAAAAGGATGCACGAATAAAGGAATCGAAAGAATTGAATGGCGAATTAACAAGAACGATGATTTTCGAGCATTTCGTACCGATGATCATTATGTTACAGCGTGTCTGTCGGTCTCAAGCAATTTCTTCAATCTCGCATCTTCGATCTCAGAAGATTAATCTGGAAAGTCATCGAGATTTTCTCATGCTCGCAGAACAGTTTCGCACAAGAGGTCATTCGTATAGTTTTCACGATCTAAGAGAACGACAGACGTGATGTACGTTGTGTATCGCTACGCGTACTCTACTTATTATACTTGTTTCTTATATATATATATTTATATAGGTAGTTGTATTTTTATGATTAGCAATTAAATAAATATCTTGAAATTCTCGATCGTGTAATGCCGTTTGTTTCTCAGTGAACCGCCGTGTAAGACGACGATGTGTCGTGTTTGCTATCTTAAAACGTACGTAAAACTTATTGTTCGGTGTATCTCTTGAGTCTTCGTGTGATATATTGCGACTTTTCTGTCATACTTTCGATCGCAGTGTCTGGATACGTTTCTCGCCACCACTCGCTTTTCCTCGCGTACCCTCTTCGCGAGAATTGTAGCTCGATATTCTCGCATGCATCGCGGTCTTCTCGTCCTCGCTAGTAGCGAGCCGCTATGAAAGAAGGACGATGAAGTGAAATTTGTTCAATTAGGAAGACAGGAATATTCTATCTGATTGTATAAAAATATTCTGGAATTTCCTTTAATACGTTTATTTTGAAATTTGTGTGATTGTATAATTGAAACGTACATATTTACATAGAAAATTGAGATTAAAGAACAAAATGTTATATTCAGCGATATAAAAAAAATATAATTTTGCTGTCCTAAATAATGGAATTTAATGTTGAGATTAATTGCGTTTTAAAAATTTATAACAGACCATTACGCGCATATTTACAAGCAATCAGATAAAAAATCTTTGTCCTTCTAACTTGAACAAATTCCGCGACGTGAATTTTGACACGCAATTTATTAATTATGCATTCGTTAATTATGCGTTGCTTTCTATTGACTTTTACGTTCAAAATGAATAATCACGCTATCTTGCGATCTGCGAGCGTCGATTTGGACGTTAATCGATCTTATCCATAATATAGCACTAGCAAAAAGAATTAAATAACACATATTAAATCTTGCGGTGGTAAGAACGAAAAATTGTTTTTAACGTTGTTTAATTTGTAATCACCAAATTTCGAGATAAGAACAAAAATGCGTACTCTCCTAAAACCATCCTACTTCTGACGCGCAAGTCAGTCATAAAAATGATAAGACAAATTTTTAAACGCCATGCGTCAACATTAGATATTAAAACCGCAGTCTGCGGTTTTTTTTAATTTTAGAATGCTATCGGAATAAAAATAAATATGATTCGATTTTGTGACTTGACGTACACTGAATAAATCGAAACGAACGCACCCTCGTCGTGCTTGCAACATTCTAAGATTCAGATAAAATAATTATTTTGATGTCACATTGCGTTTGAAAATCAATCTCATTGTTTTTAAAACAAACTAGCGCATACACTCGGAGACAAAAAGATCGCGAGATTTTTTTTTCGATAAAAATTTTGGAATGCGTTAAAATTGTAAGATTGTTCCCGCGAAATTTATCTAAAAAAGTTTCGCAAGTTTTTTATCCGCGTCGAAACGAAAATTTCTTGGTAATCGCGTAAAGCAGGTTCGCCACTCTTCTCGCGGTTCATCAGTTATACATATGTACAATCGCGAGCCGAGACTGTATTCGTAGTCCAGCTACTCTTAAAAGCAACAGTGCATTCTTTCATTTATCGTTTCATTGTAAAAATAGAATGACAATCGCGAACGAAATAATTCAAATTCGAGCCTTCTTCCGGTGTAATCGCCAATGTATCGCAATTTCGTTCAGATTCCGCATTTTTCTACATCCTTGCGACAGCCTGTTGCAGACGATGTGAACTTCTCCATTTATTTCGCTTTGTTGTGAGAGTAGAAAGACGATTGGAACAACGGGAACTCAGAGTGTCTTTCCAAGTCTTACTACGACAATATATTACACATGTAAATGATAACTTAGAATCAGATAGTCGTATTTAGCGCTAGATAGGTTTCGGTGAAGATACGAGTCTTGTATTCTTTCGCCAATCTCCTCGAGATAGTAAATGCACCTCACCGACTTGTTATCGAGATGCGACCCGACGAGCTTGCCGCACACACTTTCAGTATTGTGTCGCAAAACTAGTGGCGTAACTACTATCAAGCGCGGGTAAGCGATGCTTACGGGCCTCACGGGGGGGCGTCAGCGACCCAAAGTGACGTGAAGGGACAAAATTTTGGTGTAACGTAAAAATATCCTTCCCTTGCTAATCACATAAATGTCTATACAAGTCAAAATGTACAGATCGTTAGTTTCATTTTTCTTCTAGTTTTGCGAGTGGAGCAGAAGAGGGAGAGGCCACCTTTATCAATTCCCTCAAGAGCCGAGGATTTACAGAGTTACGCCACCGCGCGTAAAATGTATACGCCTTCAACGTGTGCAATGCGCGGCCCCGCGCAGCTGCAAATATAACGAATCATGTAAACAAAATGGAGCGAGTCTGTAATTCGAACGAATGCATTAGCGCGCACCGGCGCGCACTCGATTACGTCGTACATACAATTTATCAAAGTGCATAAATTTTTCATAAAAGTCTTGATAACATTTAGCGTAAATTCTACCACATAGTATAATGAAGCTGAGCATTCCATTAGTGAGCCGATTACATACTATGCATATACTTTTGTTATTTTGTGTAAGACCGACCGTCTTTAGAACCGCGTCCGTGCGTTAATGCATCCAATCGAATGTATTGTAGGAGAGAATCGCTTCATTTTTATCCATCTGATGCAATATTTAGCAATTGGAAAGCCGCACGCACCGACACTTCTCTTCCGTAGTCTCGTTATCAACTGGTCGGGAATCTTAATGTCTATGTTTATATCATAAAGCATTCTGCAAGCTGTCATCCCGTGATCGCGTATCATTACGTCTCGCGATAATCCGCATAATGATTCATTAGGACCGATCTTGCATTTTCGCGACGAGAAAAATTTTATTCTATCAGAAAATATAGAAAAATTTTAATAACGGATAATCTGCCTTCAGAACTCTGCTGCATCTCATTTTTTAATACGGCGTTAAACTTTTTAATAATTCTAATATTAGTCTGAGATATTTTGTGTACTTTAGTAAAATAAAAGACGTGAAAAAAAAGGTTTAATTAAAATCGTTTGAATTATACTTACGGCATCTTTAACATAAATTATCTCTTAATATTAAAACTCTTTATATTATAATTATAGTCTTTAATAAATTAAGACATCTCGTGTTTTTATCTTTTTAAATCTATCTACTAAACACCATGACGAGTTTCCTAACATTTAATATCTGACGTTTATCGTCATGTAACCCTGCTGTGTTCCGTTCTTTTTCCTATACACATTTTACATACGTTCGAGCTCAAATCGTGCGCTCTTTCATACGTTTTAATTGAATATAATATTTCCTTTGTATTATATCACGTAAATACTTGTTTAGAAATAAGAAATTAAAAGTGAAAAAAATTCCAAAATATCACGAGTATTTACGAGATTATCACATTTTATAAATAAAAATTGGTCGGGTGAGTCCCAATGGAATAATCGAGTTAAAAAGTTCTCCCCATTTAAAGATTATCGTTCGACTCGTAAGGAACTTACAGATTTAAAGGTGTCTGCCGCGATGACAGCGATCACGGGTGGACGAGCCACTCGTTTCAAGCCTAATATACATCGAGTATTAGGTTTACAAAACAGATGCCCTACCTCGTTGTAGGGTTTCAAGAGTCGGATCGGTGGCTTCACAGCAGAAAAGAATATGGGGCTCTAGGGAAATCGGAGATGGGAACTCGGATTGATACGTAGAGCCGGAGACCGGTTTACTCCCGCAGTTTGTGCCAATCGGCTATCTGTCGTCGCGGTGAACTGCACACTTCCTTCCAATGATTCACAGCGGAGCCTTGGCATTTTGGTCCACCGAAGTCTAGCCGGCCAATCACCTACACGAATCATATTTTATTACGGTTTTGACAAACGCGACTGTGAACCGTTGAGAAATTTTATCAATGAAATGAAAATTCTGTTCTAAAGTACACAATAAAGCTAAAATAAGTAATCACGTTTCTATAAAGTTAACCGGATATTTTTATGTTCGTGAACCTAGCATATCATTTTCCAGCAGATCAAAAATAAAAGAGAGTTCTTGTCGCATGCAGTCGAGTTCTATAGTTCCTTATAGTTTTTAGTAATAGTTCTGGTGATTTTATCCAAAAAAAACACCAATCGAAAAAATGATCTGCTAACTTCCCGTAGCAGATCATTTTCTAGCAGATCAAAAAATAAAAGAGTAGTTCTTGTCGCTATACAGTCGAGTTCTATAGTTCCTGATAGTTTTTAATGATAGTTCTGGTGATTTTATAAAAAAAACACCGATCGAAAAAAATGATCTGCTACGGAAAGTTAGCAGATAAAAAATAGAGGACACTGAACATATATGTGATATGCTGGCCGTATATTGATAGGTCTGTTGATAATTAAAGAGTTTTCGTGTAGTTCTGAGCCAGTACATTGCTTTTCCAAAAAGTTCTGACGACTAAAATAATTAGAAAATTTTTTAACAATTATTTTACCCGAAAAACACGCATTTTTGTACATATATGTGATATGCTGGCCGCATATTGATAGTTCTGCTAAAAATTAGACAGTTCTCTTCTAGTTCTGGGCGAGTACATTGCTTTTCCAAAGAGTTCTGACGACTAAAATAATTAGAAAATTTTTTAAACA